CCAAGATTTCAAAATACAGAATTAAAATCATGTAATAAAAGCAGAGCAATTAAGATTTCTTGTTCATTTTCTATTGTTATAGAGCTGTAGTGACAGGTATAATTACATGAATTTATAATCATAAAGATTAATAAAAGATAACGAAATAAATATTTTTAACAAAAAATGGCTATAGTTGAGAATACGCTTTAATATAAATTTTAAAGCCTTCCTGAATCTTACTCCTTAAACGCTCTAGCACATAACTTAAATAACACAAAATATAAAGCTTCAGTAACAATGATGTTCATAAAAGTGCTTATTTATTTTCTAAAATGTAGACATTTTTAATTATCTGCTGATACTAAAAAAATCTTTCATTTAGATTTCTGACATTTCTATAGGGTCTTAAAAAATTTTTAACATGTTTCAGTTATTTTCAACTGCTATGACGTAAAAATGCCAAGCTACTATCAATTCAATTGTCAGAAAATTAATCAATTAGAGAAAAAAGATTTAAGACAACGAAAAATTGAGACTAACTTTCGTACTACTTAAATTCTCAAAAGAATAAAATGCATCCAAACCTGACAATTGCTTTAACCAGAAGTCAAACCTTCATCTCTTTATTTAAATACATGAGCGAAATTTTTCCAAATGTAGCTTCGAGTATTTTTGCGTAGCAACTATTGACTAACATAAAAAATTAACAAAAGAAATCTTAAAATGATCATCAAAAAATGTAGATCATTACAGTCTCAGATTAACATCACAGAAACGTTTTTGAGAGCATATAGAAATTATGATATGTTTTAAAGATGATTCAGAAACATAGAAGAAACCTTTTGTGATAATTGAGTTCGTGCGCAAATCTTATGAAAGTTTTTGAAGGGAAAAAGATTTAAAATTTTCTAAAAAACCTTTTCAAGATTTTGAAAATGCTTGAAATCTTCACACATCATATCACCTTAGAATTGAATTTTTGGAACAAAATGAAAAACAATACCGACCCAGACTCGTTGACAACGTTCCAAACAAATGGAGCGACACAAATGACCCATCTTTCGTTCTTTTTTTTTAATAATGTTCCATCTTAACGAGGAGGAAAAGACTTTTTTGGCAAAACTTTTTGCTCAAGTAAGAAATGTTAATTACTTTTTTTACGATATACTAAGAAACATTTCAAGACATATTATATAATAACTGCTGAAAGCGTTACTACAACTAAAAACTATCCGAAATTTTTTTTATCATGCAACAATTAAATTAAATAAAAATTGGAAAATACATAATATACAAAAAGCTTGGTTAATGCGCTAGTTGTCACATTTTTTTAAGTGACATTTTTAAAACTAAACTATCCTCTAGTATTGTTTCCAAATAGATTTTTTAAGTTTGTGGAATAACCGCTAAAATATATTTGACCTGATATGTAAGATATTTGATCTAATATGTAAGATATTTGACCTAACATATACCTTTCAGATATGCATTGAAATTTCTAATCTTTAGGGTAATTTTGCCTTCTAAAAATGCGCGGAAATACTCATAATGATATTAGAGACTATGTGTTTTAAAAATAGTAATGTGTATTTTTTATTAGATTTTTTTAAATTCAGTTGTTGTTGTTGTTAATTTACGTCGCACTAGAGCTGCACAATGGGCTATTGGCGACGGTCTGGGAAACATCCCGGAGGATGATCCGAAGACATGCCGTCACAATTTTGATTCTCTGCGGAGGGGATTTAAATTCAGATAAATGAGTAAATAATAAGTCACGAAATACGTCGTACTAACATGTTATATACAAATCCCAGGATCATTTCGAAAAAAATTCAACAGTATAAACAAACATTTACCATTAAATACACCACAAATATTTATCTTTTTCTTTTAATTAGATAATTAAAATCGATTTATTTTTCATATATGTTTAAAGGAAAAATATCTAGAACAATTTATGTACCATTATATAATGAAATTAGCTTCTATTTTAATTAGTAACCCTAAAAATTTATTTTGTGTATAATTAGTCTAATTACAAAAGAATTTCTTTAAAAAACAATTAAACAAATTTTCAACTCGGTGAAATGTATGCAGAAGTTTTGTAAAAAAAAAACCCTTTATTGTGAAGATCCAACTTTTAATTATGCTTAAACCCTGAGCCAATTTAAAGAAAACTACTAAATATGAAACTGCTTAACTCCATAAAATTTAATTTTGAATTGTAATTAAATACAATGAACCAAACATAGCGATGTATGTCTTGATTTTAATTTTTTAAAATATTTATTTTACTTACTTTTAATAGAAAATCATGAGCCCAGTAAAAATATTAATGTTCTTTCTTATACCTCCTTTTTTAATGTTACAAAATTTGCAATTTCTATACTTAATTTATCAGCTACATTCAAATATATACAATTTAAATGTCCTCAAAATTATCAAAAAATTTTAATTTTAACTCAATTTCTATATAAATTCTGCTCTAAATAAGTTACTTAAATAGATACGTTAATTTAAGAAATTCACGGATTCCAGATTAATTAATGGATAATTAATTTGCTAAAAACATATTTAAAGAATTATATTGTTTGTATCATTGATAGTGTTGTATTGTTGATAACTTGTAAAACCATTTTAAATACCAGTAAGAACTAATGAGCAAAATATTATGGAATTGAAAGCTATAAAACAGTTAAATCAAATTTCATCAAAAGTTTAACTGATAAAAATATTAAACTCTACATTCAACAAATAAATCACGAAAAAATTATAAAAATAAATACAAAAAAATATTGAAAAAAAAGACATAAAAGTAAGTGAATTAAAAGAAAGTGACTGAAATGTTAAGTTATCATAAAACTTGTTGTTGTTGCTTATCCTCTCTGTCTGACGGAGTCAGACAAGATCCACGAGTTCGTTGACTGAAAGGAAGTCGAGGACTAGGAGAGGATTGCTAAAGAGATCCTCCTTAGAGAGTCCCATGCAATCCAAGAAGTGTTGAACTTCGTTCATAAAACTTAACAGACATAAAAGCAAAAACACGTTATACTATGATGAACGTAAATAACGCTACTCATCCTGCGTAAATTGTTCAAATGGTGTAGTAAACTAAGCCTGACAAAAAAACTAGAATAAACGAGGAAAGACTAATGAAGCTTGGTGGAGTCGTAGGACCTAAGATGTTTAAGCTCCTAATAGGACCTAAGATGTTTAAGCTCCTAAGGGTATCTTATATACCTTATAATTATCATCCTTAATTCTTCTCGTAAGAAAACATTCTTAACTTCGACAAGTTGGAGAAAAAATTATTTTATATGTTGAGGTAAATATTATCAGTCACCTAATTTTTTCTACAAAAAATAAAAACTTCATTTATTTATTTATTTTGAAATTGAATCACAATTTAATTTGATGCTTTTATATTGTGTATTTTTACACGACAAACCGCCGAACACATATACTGATAGGTTCGGAAACCACCACAGAAAAATTGGTACAAATAAAATAGTTACTAGAATAGTTACTAAAAATACTATACATATACTATATATATAGTTACTAAAATAGTTACTATATAAAATAGTTGCCCCTGTAATTCTGTTACTATTGAATATTATAACTCAATTAATGAAAAATAGTTAATGAATTCCAAATCAATAATTTTTCAAAAAAGAAAATGTTATGGTTGTCATTGTTAAGATTCGTAGCTTATTTTAATTTGGAAAAATCAAGTTTATAGAAATTTTTGGGTTGCGAATTTATTTTGGAAACATAATTTAGTATCTAAAATGCTACTTCAAATAATGCATATTCATCTAATGATAATTTTTATACATTTAAAATGAATCACTTAAATTATGGTGTAGTAAAAAACTACTTTTTGTAAATAATTGATTTTGGTATAATACTTAGTATAATATTAATTAGCTAAAAATATTTATTTTTATTGAGATTTTATGATTTTATTGAGATATATGAGTATTTTTCGAAATGAATATGGTATCAAATAATCTAAGATTAATTATTTGAATATTCATTTGGTTAATGTTCTCTTATTCATAAAATATTACTAGCACCATGAATTTTATCTTTTATTTAAGATGTATATGAAAACTTTTCATGTTTATTTTATGGCAGACATCGTATAATAATTTTGCACAGTATAAAAAAAGTAATAATCCAGAAAAAAACGACTGATATTTAAATTAATTGTAATTAAAAAAAAAGTTAGAAGCCAAAAACAAGCAAAAACGAAAATTTTGCTGTTTTTGGTTTCTTACTTTTTATTTAAATTGTTTTAGTAACACGACTTTGCTTTTAGCGCTTTTCCATTTTGATTTTTTCTTAAAATTTGCTTAAATCAATTTCATATTTTGATTGGATTAAAATTGATAATTAGCAATAGGAAAATACTATAAGTTCAATGACAGGACAGCTTATGTGATTTGAATATGCACCAATTAAACGGGGTTTTATTCCAAGCTTAGAAATTGTTGAATGTATCTCATTTAAATTTGAGCGAATAAATCCAAGAACGTAGAATTCGTGGCCTTTTAATTGGTTTCACTGCCGATGAGAAGGTGTCGACACGGTTACCTAATTAACCAGTTCAAAAAAGAGCGGGATTTTAAAGGAGGGGAGATCGGGATGTAATTCACTTCAAGGAATTTTCAGAGAAAGGGTTTTCGTTTCATTGAATTTATTGTGAACATTTACTTTATTGGCTTTCTTTTCACCTGGTATTGTCAGGAAGACCCCTCAACACCCCGCAAAAGAGGAGATAGAACAGGAAAACATCAAAAGGGAGAATATATTGATGGAATAATAAGTTCCTCGGATTAAACTAGGGACTTTACTTTAGTGCAAATTTGTTGAGAGGGATATAAAGGAAGTTCAAAGGCCCCGCCTGAGGGTGTCCACTCAAAAACCGGGCCGACGAGATCTTAACGAGGGTTGGCGTAGTTTGAGAGGTCGGGAATTAAATGGAATAGAAAAATCACATAGGGGGTACTTACCTATTTGATTGATGATAGTATAAATACAGAGGATAGTTGCACACCGAGAATAAACAGAGTTCAGAACTACGGTTCGAATACCCGCCATTAGGGAAGACGGCACCGGCGTGGTACACTATTCACCATCCAATATAAACAGCTATAAAATGTGTAAAAATTTTTATATCTAATTTGAAGAAGAAAAAAAGACAAATCTAAGTTCTCTATTTATCTGGAGTCTTAGAGAATAGAAAATGCTCTAAGTGATATATATTCTATAAGTTCGTTGTGGATGTTAGCGATTCAAGTCATGATTTTCGGCACGTTACGGATGGAACGTAGAACTTCATAACTGGCACGCTTCACAACTATAACACTCACAGAGGTTTCTGAGTCTGAAATATCGTAATTAGGCAATAGCGACGCCATCGGGATTGCAGGGAACTAGCCAGAAGGTTATCATATATTCTCAGTGCCATCTGCCGGAAGCCGCACCAAACTAATGTTGGTAAATGGGTCTATTTTTATGTGAATTCTTTTCATCAAAGCATTATTAAGATTAGCGGAATTGTGAATAAAAACAATGCCAAGAAGTCCAACGCTTGAAAGAATAATGGAATCTTGGGATTTTATCTATGTTTAATTTAAATTCAATTCTATTTATTGCGAAATTTTCCTAGCAATTATATTTCTATTCACTCAATAGTTAATATAAAAAAAAATTCGATTTGGAAACTTTGGATTTTATCCGTGTTATTCTTAACTAATATTGAATTGTAATTCTTAACTAATATTGAAATTTCGCAGCAAATAAGTTTTCATTTTCATTCAGAAATTTATAAAGGAAATCTCGATTGTCATATCTATATTTTTAAATTTTTTTGTAAACAAATAACTTTTTATGCATATTTAATAATAATACTTCTTTAAATGGAGTTTCAAAATATTTTAATCAATAGTTTAGCAGTAAAAATAATACTTGTTTAAACTCTATTTAAATAAGTATCATTTTTAAAATTGAAATTTACTTGTTATTAAAAAAGTTAGTGAAAATGGAATCTAGTTCTATGAAAGTTAAATTAATACCATATACTAAATAATCTGATAAGAAAAACGGAAATATTATATTTATTATATCTATTCAGGAATATAATTAAATATTCTTGTTATAAATAGACTATTTTAAAATTAACTAATTTCAACTTCTGGCGAAAAACTGCATGTCTACGGATATTCTTATCAGGAATATTTTTCAGAGAGGAGTAGTAGAAAATTTTGCCAGAATTCGTACTTATTTTTTATATTCTCTAACCAAACTGATAAAAAGTAGAAATTCATGACGCGGGTTTAAGAAAAGAAAAAAAAACAATGTAAACGAAATTTTTTTTACTGCATCAAATTTGATTCTTGCACAAATTAAGTACTTTCACACCATGCACTTTTCATTTATCCATACTATTAACATTGAAACATATAAGTTTGGAACAGTGCTTACAGTCAGCTAATAAGCTTTTTATAATTTTTTAAAAAAAATTTGCTTTAAACGTCAAAATTACATTTAAAAACTTCTTTGAACCAAATTTTAAAATTTGATTTAAATATTCAACTTAAAAAAAGGCATTATATTTCTGTTTAATAATTACTGAAAACTTAAAAAATATACCACGTAAGGGTGCCATATTTGATTTAAAAATTTGAGACAAGATAGTTTTACCTGGCCAATATTTATTTCCTTCTTGCAACTGCGAATTTTTTGCATCACATATTTTAATAAAAGTGCTTTTTAATAATCAACACGTTATTTATATATTATAATATATAATCTTTGTTTAGAATCAACATTTCATTACGAAAAATCTAAAGTTTGCATTTACAAATTTTTATCTTTTAATATCGTAAGTGAAGAACATCCTTTTTTTTTTCCAAAATAATATGACCTTTCTTTCAGGAGGGGGAGGTGTTTCCCTAAAGAATATACAGACGACTCATGACAATTTTTTTCTAAATGGCTTGTATGTGACATTCAATTGAAAAAAAGTGGTACTCAGCGTAAGTTGATTTGGAAAACACTGCAGACTAGAATGCGTTTGAAGCAGTTTTGACTCTTCCGTCCATAGGGCCCTTAAACATAAAATCCTCAAAAACCAAATGAAATATATTCAGATTCTTTAAAGAAAAAAAAACTGTAAATTGCAACGAGATTGGTGTTAGATATTTAAAAAAATAGGATTGTAGAGCTATTGGTGAGAAACAGAAGAGAAATCCTCTGTAAGTACGACAGAAGTTAAAGTAAAACTGACTTCATTTGCATAACTTTAAACTTAATTTTAGTGAATGAATTGGATGGGTAATAACTGCAAAGAGATTATTTTTTCCCCCAATTATCTCTTTGAAATCGTCTCTATCTTCGACTCTTTTTTTTTCTTTTTTTGTTTTGGAAAAGGCATAGCTGTACTTTCCAAAGAAATTAGTGGAAGAAGAACTGTGAATTACAACGAGATTGATATTAGATATCTTTAAAAAAAATAGGAATGCTGAGTTCATTGTACACAAATTCCTTTCTATTTAATGAATAATTGTTCTGGTATTACTTTTAATAATAAAATTATTATTTTTGTATTTTGGTTTATAGTTAACTATCATTACATACGTATTTAATGGTAGTTATTCTTATGCTTCTTGATTACTTTTTAGAGTAATATTTCAGAATATATATTTCTACTTTTTAGAACATATTTAGTTCTGAACTTGTTATTTCGAAAACTCACTATCTCGAAATTTTTTAGAGTCCCTTCAACTTAGACATATCGAGAGTATACTGTGCAATTACAATTAAAACTATTTTATTTAAAATCACTGTTTATATTATACCGAAATAATTGAACAAAATTAGTTTTAACAAATATATAATTACAAAATATTGAAGTTGTGCAAAACTATTATAACAAAAGCTAGATATTTAAAAAAAGTAAATTTGTTTAGTAAATATTCCTAACCAGGAGAATTATTATAAATGCAACTTTTTTGCAAGCAACTCAGTTAAGACTTTCATTTCAGAATTTAAGAATCGGAATATAATTTATTAATAAAATGCATCACTGAATAATTCATTATTTTATATTATATGCAGAGAAACACGTGTATTTTTTCTAAATAGTATTACAAAGTTAATATAATTACAAGTATTTCAGCAGCAATAAATTTATATCACATTATTTTTTTTTAAAGTGACGGTATTTAGAACTTTTTAATGGTGTGTGCCACACATGTCAGTCTATTAATTTTAAAATTTATCTTTAGCTTTATTTTACTACTTTATTGTATATTTTTTAAGATGTTTGTAGGCGTTTGTATTTCATAAAGTCTTTAACTTTATTGCATTAAGGTTTATTTTCACAAACCTTAATAATTCAATTTGAGTATTTTTTTCTCAATATAATTATATGTAAATAAGTAAAGAAATTCAATATATATTTATCTATATAAATAAATTCCTTAATATCGAAGACTTTATATTTCTCAATTAACCTATTGGACTTTTTAACTCACCGGATTCGGTATTGAGCAAATACTTTTAACTGCAACTCCAAATTCGAGCCTTCAGCTTTACTTTTAGAAATAACTTTTTTTTAAGAATAAAATCAATGAACTTGACAGTATGGCGCTTTTAATGGCGTCTGGTTTAAATGTTTTGTAAGGGGTAATTTGAAAAGATAATTTCATGCCACCCTCACGCTGAGGTTTGAACCCATGCAATGTCAAAGAACTGCCATATAGCTATATAGTTAGGTGAGACAAAAAAAAAATGACTTTGGGAGACTTTTATAGCGATGATAAAATTTTCATCTTGTAAGATTATCTAACCTCTAATATTCTAACTAATTTGACAAGTAATTACGAAATTAATTATTATTATTATTATAAATTATATTATTATTATAATATATTATGAATTATATTATTATTATAAATTATATTATTATTATAATATATTATGAATTGTATTATTATTATTATAAATTATATTATTATTACAAATTATAATGAATTATATTATTATTATTATAAATTAACGTTTTACNATAAATTATATTATTATTACAAATTATATTGAATTATATTATTATTATTATAAATTATTATGAATTATATTATTATTATTATAAACTATTATAAATTATATTATTATTATAATAAATTATTATGAATTATATTACTATTATTATAAATTATATTATTATTATAAATTATCATTAATTTTTTTAAATGTAACTAATTACGAAATCATGCGCAAAAACATACTTCCTCTAGATCAGGGGTTGCCAAACTTTTTTGATCATCGACCCCTGTATAATTTTTCGACTACAAACGTAATTTTCTGTTAATTAAAATAAAACTCTATTAGATACAGTGTCTGTACATTTATTTTATGATTTTAAACATTTATTAAAGTAATAGTACATTGTGTAACAATAGTTTTATGAAAAATATATTAATATTGAAATTTAAATACCTTATTATTAAATAATAAGTAATTATGCATAAGTAGATATAATAAGTAAAGTAACTAAAGATTTACTGCTTCTTGATCAATGAGATGGGTGTGCCTGGTGTTTTTTTGCAAGGTTCGCTATATTGGGTTCAAAATTGGTCAATTTTAATTTTCGTCAAAATTGGTCAATTTTGTAATTTTCGTAAAAAAATACAAAGTGTGCTATAGTTTTGTCGCGGGCTGTACTAATCCATATTATTAATGCTTACCTTCTTTTTTGTGCATTGATAATTAAAATTGATATCTAAACCAAACGAATGGTTTTATCGAAACAATAACTAATTATCCAAAACTATAAAAGTTTTAATAATGACACTGCAAATATTCAACACAGTTTGCAAAGATAGTTGAAACTGCGTATGATATTTGCATTTGTAACGTCAATGCTCGTCACACGTGACATTTGGACAAGCGCATATATGCATATGACTTATAAACTGCGCTGAGTTCGTGCCACTGCGCGGTGGAACGTAAATACTTGTTTCACACCAATAAATATACGTTTATTAATTTATGTTTTATAAAGAAACTGATATTGAGTCAATTATAAAAAAATTCACAAATTTTACATACTTAATTAGGTATGTGTGATTTGCGTATTGAGAACTGTTTTTTTTTTAAACCCACAATCGACCCTTCCGATTCGGATCGACCCCCATTCGCCCCCCTGTCTCAGATCAACCCCCGCAACCGTTAAATAGACCCCTGGGGGTCTATATAGACCACTTTGGCGACCTCTGCTCTAGATTAACATTCCTAAATACTCAAAATATGTGACAATTGTATAACTCGTTTATTTAAATATAATTTCCATAAATTTTAAATTTTTTTTCATCAAT